TCCCATGGATCAAATTCCATTATGGTAGGGTATTGTGATGGAGTCTGGGAAGGTAGTGCTAATGATAGGAAGAGCACTTCTGGTGGTTGTTTCTTTTTGGGAAATAAATGTATCTCATGGTTTAGTAAGAAACAAAATTGTGTCTCTTTGTCGACAACTGAAAGTAGATTACATTGCAGCTGGATGTAGTTACTTTCAACTGATATGGATGAAGAAAATATTGAAAGAATATAATGTCAACTAAGATGTCATGACATTATACCGTGACAACCTTAGGGCTATCAATATCTTAAAAAATCTTATTCAGTATAGCAGGACTAAGTACATTGACATCTGTCATCATTTTATCAGAGATCTTGTTGAAGATAAAGTGATTACTCTGGAGCATATAGCCACTGAGATATAACTCGTTGATATCTTCACCAAAGCTTTAGATGCAAATCAGTTTGAAAAGCTTAGGGGTGAACTTGGAGTTTGCATTTTTGAAGTACCTTAGGTTCAACTGCTTGTGTGATTCCATCAAGTATTGTTTGTTTACATTTGTGTTTTATTGTGATTCCGTTATTATTTTTTATTTCCTATAGGCAATATGCTCTCTTGTTCTCTATGTTTCCACTGCTTGTGTACATTTACTCTATTTCTTTTTGTCAATATTTTGGCTAAAAAGGGGGAGTAAAATGTTGTGTGTCCTGATGTTATATCTTTAATAATATGATATGATTGTGTGCTAATGCTTTTAGGAGAGTATATGTTTGTGTGGTTGATCATGCAACTATTTAGGGGGGGTATGGTAGTCATGCTTTCCCGTGTGCTTCTGGTGCTATTGATGTAGTCAGTTGTGCAGGATGAGGATGTCTTAGCAGATGTTATAACATCCTGTCTGGTGTGTGTTGAGAATCCTTTGGATTTCTCTTCTGGTGTGGGTTTTTCCTCGAGGGAGAGAACTTATTATGTTTGACAGAGGGAGTGTTAACCTGTTTGTTTGTGTAGCTACTAGAACTCTGATATTTATTTTATGATGCAGTTTGTTTGTTTGTGGTTTTATTCCTCTCTCTCGGATCTTTTGTGCTAAGAGTGTTTTAGACAAAATTTATCAAAGGGGAGATTGTTAATACCATGGTTTTAGGATTGGCGGAATTTTTGCTAAAACATGGTTTACAACATGATTTTATGAAAGAGGTTCTAACATGCTGGTCAGATTCATTTGAAGACAGATGTTCTGACAGATGTTGTAATATCCTATATTAGAACATCAATATAGGGTGTTTATTCTTGATAAGATTTAAATTGATTTTGTGAGATTCCTTTTGGATTTTGAGACAACTTAGGAAACCTTGTATTTTGTTCCAAGATTCAAGGATATTTTTCTGCACAGATTGGTGCAGCTCTCAGCTTATTCAACAAGGAATATCTAGGCGCAGATTCAAGGCCCAAGGATTACTGAAGAGTATTTAAAGAAACTACTTAGACCTAATTGCGTTAAGAACCTTATAAAAAATAAGGGCAAGTCATTTTTCTTAGTCTAAGGCTTTGTGGGTTCTTCAAGAGAGTTTATGTTTTCTTTGTACGTCCTCATGCATCATTTGATGCATTTGAGCTGACTGATTGTTACTTGACAGTTTGTCAAGTTATTATTCTCACTCTAAAGCTTTTAAGAAAGAGTTTGAGTATTGTGATTAAAGTGTAAATTTCATTTTTGTTTTGATTTCAAGTCACTGTGATTGTGACTAGATTATAGACTATCACTGGAATTGGGACATGTCTTTTATCACTGCAGTGATTAGAAGTGAGGTGACAATTTCTCATATCTAGGAGGTTCTTGGGTATAAGTTACATTGAGTAGTGATTAAGTAATAAGTTATAAACTGAGACTGTTTAGGCTTAGAATTAATTCTACTGATAGTGGATTTCCTTCCTGGCTTGGTAGTCTCCAGAGTAGGTGAGTTACACCGAACTGAGTTAACAATTCCTTGTGTTCTTTTACCTTCTGAATTTTAATTTTGCATAGTTTTTATTTTGGTAAAAGTTTTATCAGTCCGCAGATGTCGTAACAGTTGTCGTGACATTGTGCTTGTGTGTTGAGAAATCAGGCTTGACATCTTTATTGTGTGTGTTAGAATTTCAAAAATGATGTATCAAAATCTTGAAATGCATAGATTTTGTTTTTGGAAACGTGAGATAGTTGGTAAAGAAATAAATAAAAGGTAGTGTAATGACTATAAGATTTCATAGGTTTAAATGACATAATAAAAGATTCAAATTACCGCTAATGACTGAATTAACTATAATTTTAAGAATGTAATTAGTTTTCAAATGGTTATATTTGTAAAATGGTGAATATCAATTTTTATATATTGATAGTAGATTAAGATCAAATTTAAATATATCATTATATTGTATTTTCATGTATGATTGATTTTATATATGTATTTATTTAATAAACAGTTTATTAGTAAGTTTAATCGGTCAAATCCATAGACATTTAAACCAGATAATTTGATGTCTGGCTAATTCAATCTACTATGGAATTTAAAACATTGGTCTAAACATTGGTTAGATAAAATAATATTTGCATGTAGTTAATACAACTTTTAAGAATAATAACATTGTGTCTGAGAGTTTAAAAAATATACGCAAAATTGTTTGGTACACTTCACGGTTCGCATAAGATTTGTTTTGAACTCTTACCATTGACTCGTTGTGATTACGTTTATACTATAAATAGATTTGTTCTAAGTAAATAAATATCCACATTCCATACATTTTCTCCTCCATTAGTTTTCAAATTCAAGATCCTCTCAAAAATTATGGTAGATTGACTAGCTTCAATCATGCTAAATATTATTTCCTCGGAACAGAGGGGACTTGTAAAAGGAAGAATCATATCAGATTGTATTTGTTTGACCTTAGAGGCCATCAACTTGCTTCAAAATAAATTATTTGGTGGAAATATTGCTGCCAAGATTTACATTAGAAAAGCTTTTGACACTCTCGACTGGGGATTCTTGCTAAAGGTGTCGAGCAAGTTTGGTTTCTCAGACACTTTTTGTTCTTGGATTAAAGAAATTCTTTACTCTGTCAAAATTTCTAGTTGGGCAAAGCTGATTTGAAATACTTTCATTCCTCCTTCAAAGTCACTGTTTGTTTGGAAGCTTATCCTTTTCAAAGTCTGTATTGATGATATACTAGTTAAGAGAGGAATTCATATGTTTCCCTCGAGATGTGAACTTTGTGGTGTTCATGAAGAAACATTAGACCATTTATTTTGGCACTTCTCCTTTGCTAAGAAGTTATGGCAGTGGTTAGCTAGTACTACTGATCTTGATTGACAGGTCGACTTATTGGAAATCTGGGATGTTTGCTTTCATGCATTGTCTAAACAAGCTAGGATAGTTATTCTCTCGGCTATCATTAATACTTTCAACATCATCTGATCCTCTAGAAACCAGAAAAAGTTCAACAACAAAAATACTCATTTTGAATATGATAATATCAAGTGTGAGTCTAACAGGTAACTCTTTAAAGGTGTCCTCAGCTTGTAATATCAAGGATTTTCGAATTCTGAAAGTTTTCAAAGTTAAAATTAGACCTCCTTTTGCTGCTCGCATTGTGGAGATAATTTGGAAGCCTCCTCTTCATTCCTGGATCAAATGCAACACCGACGGAGTATCTTTAGGTGTACCTGGTCAAGCAGCTTGTGGCGATAATTTCAGGGACTCACTCGACAAATTTTATAGGCTGCTTTACAAAATTCATTGGAGAAAGTTATGCTTTTAATGTCGAATTTATTAGAGTTATGAGAGCAATTGAAATAGCCTTTGATAGAAACTAAAAGCACATTTGGATTGAAACTGACTCTAAATTAATTTCTCTTGCAATTAACGATCCTCAATTTGTTCATTGGTCACTCAAAACAAGTGGACCAATTGCATAGGCAAGATTAACAATATGTTGTTTATTCTTTCCCCTATATAGAGAGAAAAGGGGACCATTGTGGAGACATTCTAACTTCATTAGACCTTACCATTCAAGATTTTGTCTGGTGGAATGAAGTTTCAATGTATGTTTATGATGATTTGGTTTGCAATAGACTAGATTTTTCTGAGATTGGAGGGGTTTAGGTCTATGTCCCTTTTGTACCCTTTACTTCTTATTTATAAAGTTTTTCCTTTGATTAAAAAAAGTGTAAAGTAATGACAATTAATTACATATTTTAATAAAACAAGTTGTGTTGTAACAAAAAAACAAAACACAGTTGTCAACTTTTATCATTTAAAACTTTTGTTTATTTCTTACTAAAAACGAAATAGAAGGAAATTTACAAAAAAGTAATCAAGTGAAATCTAGTTTTATGTCAATAGTTAATTCTGATTTATGTAAAAATGGAAGAAAAAAATACGCATAAACAAAGTGAAATACCTCAACTTTTTTACACGAACTACACTTCAATTATCTACCAAAACCACTGTTAATTGAAAGATTACACTACATTTTGTTAGTGGGAACAAGTGCATAAAAGAGTACTGGTATATACTAGTAAAGAAAAAAAATATTCCACCTCAATATCGCCCCAATGGCTAACTTACAGGACTAGTTTCCATGCCAGTGGCAAAATATACAACTAGCCTTTTATTGAAATTTAGTTTATCATTAAATTAAATGAGATTAAAAAACTAATCATTTACATTGAAGCGTAGACTCATAAAGTTAAATTTCAAATTTGCAGATGAAATTTGATTATAAATAAGATAAATAAACTTTGAAGTCATAATAGTAAAATGTGAGGTAATAATAAGAGACATGAATCTGTAATTTACAGGGCAAAATACAAAACCTCTAGTTAGAAAACATGATCCAGTGTTAATTTTGTCCACTAGCTTAACTTCTTCACGTGACAAAAGCATCCAAGAATTAGGCCAATAGACGATAAAAAAAACAAGAAAATAGAGACGAGAAGAGGATGGCACAGAGGGAAGCAAAAAAAAAATTTAACTAAATAGTTACAAGTTACAAAACAAGATTATTAAACTTAAAACAGTAACCCATAATTTGGACGGCCAAGATGGCGCATAACCAGTTTCAAATTGCAGAGAATCAACGGCTAATGGCATGTTCTCTTGATCAGGACTACACTTTGATTCATGCGGGTGAGCACTGTACATCATGGCACGTAGAACTGCTGAAACGGTAGGTATGTATGTCGTTTTGTTCTTCGCAAGTAACCACGTCAAACCCATCAGTTCACAGTCTCGGTTAAACATCTTCTTCACTCTTTCACTCCCTCCTTTCGTCCCGTTCTTGAAACTCTTGACCTATTTAAAGTAAATAAAATTATAAAATTTACACTCATTTCATAATCACATGTTAAATAATAAATAAAAAAATAAAAAAATGAAAAAGATTATAATAATTGACAAATACATAATGATAAGTCTTTTTCTTTTGATAACGATAATAATGAGATAAAAGTGAAGAACCTTTTGTAGGGCAGAAAGGCATTTGGTGCAACCGGAATAAGAAGCGTTACGGCAGTTATTTTCCAGGTTACGAACGGCGGCGGTGGGAGTAGCGTTTTTATGCGAACCAGAAACGTTAAACGCGGCGGGGCATGATAAGGAGCTTATTTGGTGAAGCCTGATTCCACAGAAGCAAAGAATCGCGTCACATGTTGCGTTAGGTTGAGGTATTCGAATGTTACGAGTTAGTAAAGAGTCTTGCAACGAGTTAACGCATTTCTGTGAGTCGTCGGGCATCATCGGTTGTTCTCCGCTTGAGGGAGCTGGAGCGTCGGCGGTTACTTCGAGGGCGGAGCGAGCGTGTGCGGCGAATAGCCAAGCTGCGAGGACGGGGCAGCATCGGCTTCGGTCTAGGTCTTTTCCGCATGCGTCTTTGACTCCGCCGAAGAGTTCGTTGGATAAGTCGAGTTTGCAGATTTGAGTTTGGGTTTGAACCGGGAATGCCGGGACGGTGTTGGAGGAAGGGTATTCGCCCGGTTTGAGAGGCTGGTTGGGGTCGGTTACCGGTTGGGATAATAAACCGGCAAGAGAGAAGGGTGGGAGTAGGAGAAGTAGTGAGCACGCGAGAATGGAAGTGAATGATTGCATTTTGATTTTGGGAGAAGATAAAGAAAAAGGAAAAGCGAGTTTGTGTGTGAGAGAGAAAAAGAGAGAGAAAGAAATGAAATAATTTGTGTGGGCGTAGAAGGAGATGGCGATGGGTTGAAAAGGATGACACTTTTGGGGACGGTTTGTTTATCAGATAAAGTGATTTTGGGTTTCTTGGAAATTATAGAAAGAGGAGATTCCTTAGAAGAAGAGAAGAAGGGAGGTTTTTCTCTCACAGATCATAGACCCATGATTTGACTACAGAATTGCTTTTTTTCTTTTTAAGGGGAAAGAAAATACTACAGCTTTGCTAAACAACGCATGTTAAAGCATGGGAAATGAATTGGTGAAAGGATTTCTTTTTTTACTTTTTCTTTTGTTATCTTACTTGATCCATTTGAGTCATCTCACTCATTTGTGTTTCTTTCTGGAGAAATACTTATACTTTTTTGTACAATCACAAAAAGTCACCACTACTTTCCTTGTTTTACACAAATAAACAATACTTTATCCCTCGTTTTTTATAATTACTCGTGATTTTTTAATTATAATAAAATAAAATTAATAAATTTAATGTATTTATTATCTATGTTGATTTTTATAATATAATTTAGTTATTATCTACAATTTTCAATACTTATTCTTTAATAAAGTCTTTTAGCATTTTCAATATTTAGTATAAATATGCTATACTAGTCTATTAATATTGTATTCAATTCTATCTCATCTATTTTATAATACAACAGTAGTCTTGTTATCATTTTGTTTATTTTTCTTCTCCCACTTCATTACTTTGCACCAACAAATTGGTATTTATAGCACTTGGTTCTGTTTTTCTGGGAAACACGAGTGATTGTGAGCTGTGTGTTTGATTTTGGTTCATTGATTTTCTGTTGAAATCTTGAACAAATTCTGAACATAATTTGATTCTGTGGGTTGAGAAACAATGTGTGTGAAGATCTGAAAAAAATCTGTGCAAGGTTTAAAGTGAGTGGAGGCAGTAGTTTGAACACCAAACTCCCAGTTTTTAATGGCAAAAACTGGAACAGATGGATGATACAAATGCGTGTGTTGTTTGATACGTAAGATGTTCTGGATCTGGTTACAGATGGTTATGTACCAGCTGCAGCAGATGTAACTGAAGAACATAGAACTCCTGAGAGGATGATGAGGAAGAGGGACCAGAAAGCTCTGTTCTATATCCATCAGTGTGTGGATGAAAGTGTGTTCGAGAAGATTGATGATTCAACAATGTCAAAAGGGACGTATGATTTACTGGTGAGATGTTACGGTGGTGACGCATCAGTAAAGAAGGTGAAGCTTCAATCCCTGAGAAAGCAATATGAGAACTTGAACATGAAGAGCAGTGAGAAAGTTTCTGAATATATCTCCAGAGTGATTCTGATCACTAACGAGATGAAGGCGTGTGGAGAAACTTTGTCTGAACAGGTAATCATAGAGAAGATTCTGAGGTCGCTTACCCCTCAGTTTGATTACATTGTTATTTATATTGAACATTCTAAAGATCTGGAAACCACGAGAATAGAAGAATTACAAAGCAGCTTAGAAGCACATGAGTTACGTCTGTCTGAGAGAACTTCTGAGAGGGAAGCTGAGCAAGCTCTGAAGGCTTATTTTGTCAAGAAAGACCAGAAGCAGAATAGATGTGGTGATAGATTCCAGAAGTCAGAAACCTCAACTTCTGATGATAAGAGATATCATAAAGGGAATGAGAGGTATGACAAAAGGAAGGTTCAATGTTACTCTTGTAAACAATTTGGCCATTTTGCCTGAGATTGTAGGTCAAACAAGGAAAGGAAATCAGAAGAAGCGTATATGGCTAAGAGAAACTCTGATGATGAACCTGTGTTACAAATGGCTTCTGATTATGATGGAAAATGCTCAGAAGGTTGGTGGTATATGGACACTGGCTGTTCAAATCACCTAACTGGAAACAAACAATGGCTGACAGATTTTGACTCCAGAAGGAGAACAAAGATCAGATATATTGACGATAAATATCTTAATGCAGAAGGTATGAGAGATGTCAGAGTTAGAGTGAAGAATGGAAAAGACATTCTGATCAAATACGTTTGGTATGTTCCTGGTATTAGAAGCAATCTGATGAGCGTGGGTCAGCTGATTGAGAAAGGTTTCTCAATTGTTATAAAAAATAATCTCCAGAAGTTGATTATGAAGTCTGAACAAGGAAGCAACATAACTTTCAAAGTGAATGTAGAAACAACTGAAGGAATGTGTCTTAGTGCAGAAGGCACTGAAGGTGACAGTAAGTTGTGGCATAAGAGATTGGGGCACTTGAACTATAGAAGCCTAGGGCATCTATGTTTTAAGAATCTTGTACATGGTATTTTGAAGATTGTGAAGCCTGAGAAGTCATGTGAGATATGCATGAAAGACAAGCAACCCAGATTGCCATTTGCATCAGAAGTAACCTCTAGAGTGAAGCATGCTCTAGGAGTAGTACATTCTGATGTGTGTGGACCATTTCCAGTACCTTCACTTGGAGGAAACAAATATTTTATGTCTTTTGTGGATGAGTTCACAAGAATGACATGGGTAACACTCATCAAGTTTAAGCATGAAGTGTTTACTGAGTTCCAAAAGTTCAAAGTGAAGGTTGAGAAGCAGAGTGGTCAGAAGTTGAAGATTCTGAGAACAAATGGTGGAGGTGAGTATAACTCTACAGAGTTTCAGAAGTTCTATGAGGAAAGTGGAATAGAACATGAGGTTACTGCTCCATATACTCCTCAACACAATGGTCTTGCTGAAAGAAGAAACAGAACTTTACTTGATATGACTAGAAGCATGTTGAAAGAGAAAAAGCTACCTCACGTGCTATGGAGAGAAGTTGTTGCCACATCAGCATATATTCTAAACAGGTGCCCAACAAAGAAGCTGAAGGAAGTTTTTCCTTTAGAAAAATGGACTGGAGATAAGCAGAGTGTTAGTCATCTGAAGGTGTTTGGCTCTATCTGTTACAAACACGTTCCAAAAGCTAGAAGACAGAAACTGGATGATAGAAGCGAAGTAATGTTGTTGGTGGGGTATCACAGTACAGACACGTATAAGCTTTATTGTCCAGAAACTAATAAAGTTGAAATCAGCAGAGATGTTGTGGTGAAAGAGTCTGAAACACGGGATTGGGATAAGTCTCAATCAGATGCTAGTCTAGTGCCAACACCAGATTTAGTCTCTGAAGACATTTTAGAAAGTTCATAAGATGAATCTGATTCTGAAGATTCTGAAGATGAGTTAGAAGAAGCTTCTGACAATGGATCTGATTCTGATCCAGATGCTGATGATGATCCAGAATATGGTGGTGGTCATAGCTCTGGAAGGGAAAACTCTGAAGGTGGTAACTCTAAAGGTAGTAGTTCTGGTGCAGCTTCAGAACAAACTCAGAGACCACAGAGAATCAGACAAAAACTAAGCAGGTTTGCATATTTCGACATGTTGCAGGATAACGAAGTTGACTTTGAAGGGGAAGTTGTTCAGTGTGCCATGTTAGTAGATTCTGAACCAGTGGGCATTGAATAAGCTCTCAAGAAGAAAGAATGGCTGAATGCCATGAAAGAAAAACTTGAGGCGATAGAAAGGAACAAAACATGGAAATTGACTAAACTTCCAGATAATAAAAAGGCCATCAACGTCAGATGGGTTTTTAAGTTGAAACTTAAGCCAGATGGTTCAATTGGCAAGCACAAAGCTAGACTACTAGTCATAGGTTTTCTTCAGAAACCTGGGCTAGATTACTTTGATGTGTTTGCACCTGTAACTAGGCATGAAACAATCAGATTGGTGATTGCTTTAGCTGCAAATAGAAACTGGCCTTTGATGCATCTGGATGTGAAGTCTGCATTTCTGAATGATCCATTACAGGAAGAAGTGTATGTGTCACAACCTCCTGGATTTGTGAAAAAGAATCAGGAAGGGATGGTATACAGGTTGAATAAAGCTGTATCGACTGAAGTAAGCACCCAGAGTTTGGAATCTAAAAATTGATTCTTTTTTCAAGAAGCAAAAGTTTCAGAAATGTGAAATGGAATATGGCGTTTATGTGCAACACTCTGATAACAATATGATTCTGGTGTGTCTCTATGTTGATGACATTTTGCTAACAGGTAGCTTCCCAGAACATATAAAGAAGTTCAAAGAAGTTCTGATGAATGAGTTCGAGATGACAGATATAGGAAAAATGACAAATTTCCTAGGGATGGAGATTCTATACTCGAAGAAGGGTATCATTCTGCATCAATTGAAATACGAACTCGAACTTCTGAAAAGATTTAAGTTGCAGAATTGTAAAGTTATTGTGACACCATCAGAAACAAATCAAAAATTGGATTCTGACTCTGATGGTGATTTTGTTGATACTACAACCTTCAAACAGTTGGTTGGTTCTCTAAGGTATTTATGCAATACTAGACTTGACATTTGTTATTCAGTTGGATTGGTTAGCAGATTCATGAGCAATCCAAAGTGGTCTCATTTCCTAGTTGCTGTCAGAACTATGATATATATCAAAGGAACCCTGAAATATGGTGTGTTGTTTCCTTCTGAAAGTAAGACATAATCAGAATTAATAAGTTATTCTGATTCTGACTGGTGTAGAGACAGAGTGGGCAAGAGAAGTACTTCTGGATACTTGTTTAAATTTCTGGGAGGTCCCATTTCCTGGAGTTCCAAGAAATATCCTGTCGTGGCTCTGTCAACATGTGAAGCTGAGTATATCGCAGGTGCTGTAGCTTCTTGTCAAGCTGTTTGGCTTCTGAATCTCCTGCATGATTTGAAGGTTGAAGTTGAGGAACCTCTGAAGTTGATGATTGATAATAAGTCTACAATTGATCTTGCCAAGAATCTAGTGCTACATGGAATAAGCAAGCACATTGAGACAAAGTATCATTTCCTCAGAAGTCAAGTGCATAAAGGTGTGTTAGAAGTTCTGCACTGCAGCACTCAGAAACAGCTAGCAGATCTTC